TTTTGTCTGTTCTAGAGTGGAAATGCAGTTTCAGTGTTCCCAAATGACCAAGAGATGGCAGCATTTCAGACTCTCCCACATCACTCCCTTCACAGGGAGCACTCACACCATCAATTATTCCTAAATCCCAGGCCCCAGGCCTTCCAATCACAACGGTGATTGGATATCTAGGTGAAGCATAAAATTCTTTTATAAAGTTCAGCCTACTTGAGCACCATAGTTCCACTGCCCTGGCCTCACTGTTTCTAGAACTCAGTCACCTTGTAAGAATTCACTGCCTGATCAGCTCACTCCTAAGGGACAAATAACTTCATGTGACCAGCTACACTGTAGCTGACAAATTGACTGGGCTTGGTGGCTGCAAGAGGACATTCAAATAGGGAAACCAAGGCAACAGCCTAGTCATATAATGCGTAAGGTTTAAACAGTGATTCACATCAGGAACGATGGGGAGCAGAATTGGAAGGGCAGACAGTTCAATTCTAGATTCCAGTCCATGGAGGATGGGATGCCTAGTCTATGCCTGCCTCACTGTGAATGAGCTTGTGAACTGGTGGGGCTGATTCTGCAGATTTCAACCACAAGACACTGTGATTGATCAGTTGTCCTTTAGTCGCTAAGTTGTGTCCAGATTTTTTGCAACCCCACGGACTGTAGCCCTCCAGGCTCCTCTGTCTATGGGATTTCCCAGGCAAGAATACTAGAGTAGGTTGCCATTCCCTTCTCCAGGAGATATTCCCAACCCAGGAATCAAACCCTCATATCCTTCATTGACAAGAGGATTCTTTACCAATGAGCCACTAGGAAAGCCTGTGGTTAAGCACAGCTAAGACTAGTAAAAATGTATTCTAAGCAGACTCTCTAATCAAGCACATATCACCCAATAGGTGTGTTCAATATCACTGAGATTCAGAGTGAGGCAGAACTCGGCACCAACGCAAAACAAGATTATACAAGACTCAACTTTTCTAAGCACAAGCCTGCATTATGCTGGCCCTACCCCTCTGATCCTGTCTACATCCTTGCACCCCTCTATTACCTAGGTTTCCAGACTGACTTCTTGTCCCTGGAACATAATGTCTCCAAGGGCCATCCAATAGTCACCGCTCTCTTGTCCCAGACACATATGTCTCTAGTTGCCTGAAAAAGCCGAAGTCTAGGCTTTTCCTGTTCTCTCTCCAGCACATTAGCAGCAGGGTTGCATTGCACACAAGTAAGCCCAGGCGGGAAGGTAGCTGCCACTGCGGTGAACTCTTGCAGTGACTCAGAAAGCCCTCGCTTCCCAGCTCTTTCTAATTGTTCGCAGTGCACAGTCCATGAGATGGAAACAATGAAGACGGTGTGCCAGAGTTTCCAGGAGTATTTAGAAGAAATTGAGCAGCACCTCAGAGGACAACAGGCACTCTTTTCCAGGGACATGACAGAGGAGGACAGGTAATCACCTAAAAGAGCCATAAAAGCAAGTACCAGCCCGCATACCTGGAGCAAGGAAAGGTAATCAGGGCAGGACAGATGTGCAGCAGGGAGCAGGGCTAATGAGAAACTGGCCAGTTTTTCCTTGCTTTCCTGTTCCAGGTCTCACTTTCTCAGTGGGAGTCTGTGAGAGCCATTCACTGAATAGCAACACTTACTTTTCAAGGCCAGGGCTACTTGAGGTCAGAAAATGGGCAGCTGCTGGGAAGAGGGGGCTAGCCAGCAGGGTATCTTTAATCATGGTGAATGGGGCTCTCACAAAAGCATTATTGGCGGTTGTTAGAGTTTTGAAAATCTGCACTGTTTTCATATAGATGAAAAGTATATGTCCCAAAAGTAGATTAGGTATTGCCTGGGGCTGGGGATAGGAATAGGGATTAACTTGTAGCGTGGCATGAGGCTTCTTACTGGTGAAATGGAAGTGTTCCAAATTTGAATGATGGTGATAGTTACACACTTGGCAGATTTACTAGAATTATATTCTTAAAATAGGTAAACTTTTTGGTACACAGACCAGGTGTCACTAGCGGTAAAGAACCCACCTGCCAGTGAAAGAGACATAAGAGACGCAGGTTCAGACTCTGGTCTGGAAGATCCCCTGGAGGAGGGCATGGCAACCCACTCCAGTATTTTTGCCTGGAAAACCCCATGGACAAAGGAGCCTGGAGGGCTACAGTCCACAGGGTCACAAAGAGTCAGACACAACTGAAGCAACTTAGCACACACATATACGGTACATTAATTATTCTGCAACAGAGTTGTTTAAAAAAGAAAGAAAACTTGCCCTAATAATAAACCCATGCATGCAACTGAGACAAATAAAGACGGTGACTCTCTCTTTTAGGATGTGTCAAATGTATGACCTACATTTTGAGAGGCACCATGGAAGACTGTACCTGGAGGTGATTGTGAAATCGGGTTATTTTCTATTATTTACCCACAGGGAGGAGGCTGAGCAATTGCAGACTTTAAGGGAAGCCCTGCGGCAGGAGGTGGAGGAGCTGGAGTTTCAACTGGGAGACCGGGCTCAGCAAATCCGAGAAGGGATGCTATTGGTATAGGCCATGGGGTGTGGGGTTTACTAGATCCCACCCACTGTAGCAGGGGTGCATTAAATGATAAACCTGATTGTACAGTCATTCCAGATTCTAAGATTAGATGCCAACACCTTGATTTTAAGTATAAAGAAATTGAAGCCCAGAGAAGCATGTTGCCTTGCTCAGGGCCACATAGCTGGCTGGTTATGATTCAGGACCAGAACTCAGGTCAGCTAGCCTCCATGCCAATCTTTTCCTCTGCCCTGTAAGCAATAGATAAGTGTTAGTGAGAATAAGAAAGCGTTTTTTACCTCATGTAGGCTAAGTCATTGCTGAAATCTGTTGTCATCACACTGAACCCACCCTAGAGAATTCACCAAACGCCAGTGCCTTTCCCACCAATCTGAGTTAGTCACTTCATGTAAATATGGGAAGTGGTCCACACATTTTGTTCTTGTTTTCTTTTTAGGAGCTTGAGCTTCTCACAGGGGAACCACCTGAAAATGACACAAATCTACATCGATATAACTGGACAGGAGAAAAGAGTGGCCGGACTCCATGTGCTAAGATCCACTCTGCCATGCATCCTGGGGCTGCCCTTCCTCCTGGTGATGGCCAGCAGCCTCCCTGCTCAGGGTCCCATTTAGCTACCTTTACTCCACACATCTTGGGGAGCAGTACCAGGATGTCTCCGCCATCAAGGGCAGAATTAGATCCAGGTCCTCCATCAAATTGTCCTGTTGGAGAAGAGGATACAGATGTCTTCCTCTAGGTCGGAGCAGGTTTGATGACCTTCCTACAAAATGTAAAAGCACATGCTAGCCAGAGCAAGCATATCTAAATTTTCCCTAAGGAGAAATACCTATCAATCCTTCATCAGCTGTTTTTTTAATATTCTACTCTATGGTTAAACCTGGGAGGAATATGTTAATATTCATTTGATATAGGATAAGTGAGCACCTACTATGTGCCTAGTGTAGAGTGCAATAGCCAAGATAGATAGATACATACCTCAAGGTATATGTGGTGTCCAGTCTTTGCCCTGCTGAAACTTAGAGTATGCTGGGGGAGACAGAATGTAAACATATACATAGGTATGAATTTGAAAACTGTGAACATGCTTTGAAAGAAATATATTAACAGGGTTTCATGAAAAAGAGTGTACCAGGGAGTCTGAGTTAACATCAACATATCAGGAGGGTCTGCTTGAACGAGTGACGACAGCAAGAGGAAAGATCCAGGTCTCAGAGGCACCAGACTGTCCTAAAGCCTTGAGTCAGTCAGCGAGCGAGACTTGTTGAGGAGACGCCCCCCAGCTGTCAGGACCTCCTCTTGTGCTAGAGACAGAGCTATAAACAAGACACAATTTCTACTCACAAAGAATTGGAGGAGGAGGGAGAGGCGGCAACCACACCAACAAACCAGTAAATAAGATAGTGTCAGGTCTGCGCCGTGGTGAAGACTCTGTGATGATATTGTAGAAGATGATGTGAGATGAATAATGTGCCTCGTACACCAGAGCAGTCGGCCTGGCTAAGGGGAAGCTGTATGGATGAGACCTGAATGGTGAGGATGAGGAAGCCATGTGAAATCTGGGGAAAGAACGTTTAAAGCAGGAGGAATGGGAAGTTTAAAAGCTCTGAGCCAGAAACCGCCTTCATTGTTGAGTGAAGGAGTGACAGGGAAGTGGAGGGAGGAGAAGTCTGAGAGGTGGCCTTCAGGATGACGATAGGCTGGCGTCTGAGGGCCCGAGTTTTTTCCACGTGTGATGGAAGGCCACAGTGGGTTTTAAGAAGGGTTGTCATATGATCTGACTGACATTTACAGTTCACCCTAACAGCCTTGTGAAGAAGGCACCGTTGGAGACTCACCACTGGGCAGAGTTCCCAGTTAGAATAGAGCGCCCAGTTAGAAGGCAGCTGGCGTCACCCCCCAAGGGGAGAAGCAAAGCTGTCAAGCTGCTTCCATCCAGCTGGCGAGGCTTGTGAGCCCCCTGCCCCCCGCCACCCCAGGGAAAGGCAGGGAGATGTGCACAGGGGCTGCATATGCTGGCAGTCTCTCGGTGCGGCCGGACAATCTAAGGAGGGGAAATGCATGAAGAATGGAACTGCCAGAAAAAACTTCATGGAAAAGAAACACCTTGAGGGAAGTTCATCATTTGTATAAGATGGGCAAGTGCAAGGACACGAAGAAGTTATTTCATTGGAAATTATCTATTACTACTCCCTAACTCATAGCCCATTTCCATTCTTCATCCCCCTTGTGTTTTGAAAACCCTTTGGCTTTAGTGAAGCCTTTCTACCCTTCCAGCCACCCTACAGTTTCCTCTGTTGACTATACTTCCTCAGAGTGTGGACATCCCCCTTCCATCCTCAATTGTCTTCTTTGTCTGTCTCCATACTTCATCTTTCTCAATATACACACTCACTCTAGCAACCCAGTCCCCAGCTCTCTCCAGAATTCCGCTCCAGCACTGTCTACACTCCACAGATGGTTTCATCTGGAAGAACTATCTCCATGTCTCACTCAGCATCAATCTTTTTGCATCTGTGTGATACACAGCACCCCATGCCAAGAGCTTACATCACAATCTCTTATTCTCAAAAGCAGCCCACAGCAAAACTGCTCATTAGACATGGAAAAATATTTTTTCTGAGAATCTATATTAAAGCTATAAACTCTATTTTGGAGTTTGGAATATTGACAAAGCTCAGACGTGTTTTTGACCTGAGTTGCTTCCACATGAAACAGGTGGAAATGATATTTGGTGGTTGTGAGTTTATACAATCAAACTGCATAAAAGGGACTGCCCCTGTAAGTTGCCATATAAAAATAGAAGTCTTTTACCTGTGACAAGACAGACTTTCCCTCTTTGGAACCTCTCAGGGCTAAGGGAAGCATTCCCCATGTGAATGAGGAGGAGGCTAAGATATGGAGAGAATGATCTATACAGGTACACACCGAGTCCTGCACTGTATTACTAATGAAAAGCACCTGCACACTGGGATTAAGGGGTTTTTTTTTCAAGCTCTAACTTTAAATCGAGATGCTTAAATCCAGCTCCACTATAGGTGTTGAATAAACTGCTTACCTTGAGTGCCGTCATCTGTACACTATTAGAGTTAATGCACGTTGAGTCCTTTAGAGCAAGCCTGCAACATTGTTCCCATATGATTCCATACAGTGTATGGCTCAGTGTGATTACTATGATGATGACGATGAGAATAAGAGTAGAGGCAATTTTTGAATATCTACTTACGTGCAAGATAATGGGCTAAGCACTTTATATGCATTGTCACCTATCTTCACCACAATCCTGAGAGGCAAGAATTAATACACACGAATACATATGCACACACATACTCAAAAAAACTATGAATTGTCTAAGTTCTGACAACTAGGAAGGAATTGAGTTGACTCTCTGATTCCCTGTTTTGCCAGTGGTTCACCATTATGGCTCTACCAAGCCATAGGGCTTGTGTGGAGCCTACAGGTGTATCCACATCAACCAAGTAGCCCTGCTTCTGTCTGTGATATTTATTTGCTTTAGCAGAGATTTTCCTTTAAAAAAAAAACTCCTTCTGTATAAAAGTTTGAAAACACGGCACTATGTTAATGACATATGACTCTTGTAGTCAAACACAGGTTCTGAGTTGCTTTCTTGCAAAGTGATGACTTCCTCCACAAAGACTCCTTGGGAACCTACCATCCCGGCAACTCTTGGCTTACTATGGCTTGTCCCATTGCCAAGAGTAATGACAAGAGTTCCTTTGCAGTCCCTGAATGATTTTCTGGGAAATCTCATTGTTCTGTCTTCAAGTCCCAAGATCCTTCATTCTCTTTTTTATAAAGTTAAACCTATCCAAGTTGACTTTATGCAGGGAAATCCAGGCCACATATTTGAAATCAGAAATCATTGCAGTAAATATTTGTACAAAGTGAAAACATAGAAAATCTTTTAATTATAAAACCCAAACTCAGGGTTGGAATTATTCCATTTCAATGAAAAAGAAAAAAAAAATTAAAAAACCACACTGCCTGATCATTTTCAAATTTAGAAATTGGCAGGGGAACAAATTTAACTTCTTTTACATGGAAGGACAGGGGTCCTTTCCTGTATTAATTTTCTTCCATCTAGATTCCATTTCAATACTCAAAGCCAAAGATTTGAATAGAGAAAACTGAGTTAGAAACAGTAATTGGAAAACCAGGTCGCATATTTTCCTTTGTTTTGTTATGCATGAGTAAAGACCCAGGTTACACAATGAGGACAAAAGATAAAACCTTGAAGGTTGCTCCGAGCCTCAGCACATGCATAGGCTATATAGATTTGTATAAGGAAATCTTCCTTTCAGTCCACAGAAAAGCATGCTCACAAAATCCCATTAGATTTTGTTTAACAGATATTCTTTTAAATGTGTGTTTTTGTCTGCAGGGGCAAGGGTTACCTTATCTTCAAAAATAAATTTGTTAAAATGGAAAAAATAAAATCAGAAGACTTCCTAATGACTTGAAAACCTAGTCTACCTATTTCTTTGTTGAGAAATAATTTCTGATATATAATACAGGTCATAAAATAGGATATTTGTACATAGATTAAAGGATAAAGTTTTCTGTGTGGGAGGACAGAATTTTCAAAATGTTTTTGTTGTGAAGTGATGCGTTGCATATCTAATTTCAGATTTTAATGCAAACAGCAAAGAACAGTCACAATTTGCAAAGATTATAGGTTATTTGAAATGATGTCAAACTGTCTTTCTTGCAAATGAGAGAAGGTGAACAGAAGCCAAAATATTGGTGGCATCTTTCTCTAACCCAAGACTCTGGGCTCTAGTAGTTTAATTTTCCAATGTTAATAGACCGGTAGTTTAGTATGAGATGCTCCCTTTCTAAGTCAACCGAATTTTGTAAAGAAAGAAGCTTCCATGTCAAGAATGATTTCTAATCATTAGAATCAATTTGAAGACTTTTCCCTTTTGCGTGCTAAGAGCTCAGCTATCCTATGCTGGTAACCGTCTAACCCTCAGGCCAGCCCTCTATTCATTCACCAGGAGAATGAAAGTAAATGAAATGCATCTACTTCCTAAATGCACCCAATTTCTCCATTATCATTCAATTACCATTCCATTATCATTCAATAATTGCTTATTTGCTAATGACAATGTACCAGAGCCACAGGACATCTCTATTTTTCTTTTTTAAAGCAAATATTTCAGGGTATTTAAAAGTATATGATTTCTAACACTTAATAAATATAATAGGTATAATAAGTCTTTACCCATAGGAAAAAAAGTTAAATGTTTCTACTTTGGACCATCTATATTCTTCTATGGAGACATGTGGGCATTTGTCAAATATATTGCTCTGTTGCATTTTTTTTTCTTTTTTGTATTATCTCTTTACTTTTTTGTATTATCTCTTTACTTTTTTGTATTATAAAATAAAATTTACTTTTTTGTATTATCTATTGACACAGTTTTCTTGAACTGTTGAAAACTGTTAAATCTCATGAACTTCCCATTGCTTTAATGAGTGCATGACCCTGATGCATTACAGAGGAAGGTTCCCTGCCCTGTACAACTCTCATGCTTGCCCAGGTTTCCACTTATCTATTCTTTACAGTGTCAACCTCCAGCAACGCCTTTACTGCTTCTTCCATCCATAGTGGAGGCTCCAAGTGGTAGAGTAGGATATTTGTCTGATACTTGGTCACTTTATGTGTACGCTCTTATATTTTCTTAACTCTCTATTATCTGTTTAATCTGAGTAACAGTAGAGCGATGGGTCATACATTTGCCTCCTGAAAACTCTTAATTAAAATAAGCATGCTCTTTGAAATTTAGAAAGGTAATGGTTTTTCTTTCTTGTGGTTGAGTGGTCTGCTTTCTGAAAAACTGTAGCTTTCAAGAATATTTCATGTGTCCTTTTGTAAAACATTCAAGTCATTTAAAATTACAGTAAGAACTTCTAACCCAATCTTACTCACTCTTGTATCTTTCACATCTGATAACAGTATCTTGCTCATAGTCACGTCTTTATAAATTCTTATTGAAATAAATGAAGGAGAACTGCTTTGCTTTGTATTAAATGAGGTTAAGGGATTTCTCTTCATTTATGCTCAAGGTGAGACTTACTTATACAGGTATTTATGTAAAGTCATAGGCCACTACATCATGTAACACTCTCTTTATAAGGACACACATTGTAGACTGAATTGTGTCACCCAGAATTCATTATCTTAGAGCCCTAACCCCTAAACTGACTGTATTTGGAGATGGGGTGTTAAGGAGGTAATTAAGGTTAAATGTATGGTCCCATAACGGTGGGACCCACTCCAACAAGACTCTAAGAGTCACCAAAGAACTCTCAGTCTTTCCCATGTGCTCATGGAAAAGGCCATGTGAAAACGCAGAGAAAAAGGAAGCCATTTACAAGTCAGGAAGAGTCCTCACAAGAAACCAACCCTGACAACATTGGGAGCATGGACTTCTAGCCTCCAGAACTCAGAAAAAATAAATAAAATGTCTGTTGTTTAAGCCACCCAGTATTTTGCCAGTATTATGGCAGCCCAAGCAGACTAGTACAGATTTTGGTGCCAGGAAGTGGGGTGCTGCTATAACAAATAAAATGTGGGAGTGACGTTGGAACTGGGTGGTGAGTAGAGGCTGGAAGAGTTTTAAGGCACATGTTTTCTTCAAAGCAAGCTTTCTCATTTTTGCAATATGGATAGACTGAGACCTTCCCAAATCTTTATGTCTGATTGCTTTTTGCTTAACAGTCCTGTCGATTTATCTACTTCCTCTTGTGTTTTACTATAAGCAGTAAGGAGAAAGCAGGATGTACCTTCAACACTTGGCTTAGAAACCTCAGCTAAATATCCAATTTCATTGCTTACATGTTCTGCTTTGCACAAAACACAAGAACTAAATTTAGCCAAGTTCTTTACCATTTTATAATGAGGGTCAAATTTTCTCCAGTTTCCAATAGCATACTCTTCATTTCTTTTTTTTTTCATTTATTTTTATTAGTTGGAAGCTAATTACTTTACAATATTGTAGTGGTTTTTGTCATACATTGACATGCATCAGCCATGGATTTACATGTGTTCCCCATCCCGATCCCTCCTTCCGCCTCCCTCCCCATCTGATCCCTCTGGGTCTTCCCAGTGCACCAGCCCTGAGCACTTGTCTCATGCATCCAACCTGGGCTGGTGATCTGTTTCACCCTTGATAGTATACTTGTTTCAATGCTGTTCTCTCAAAACATCCCACCCTCGCCTTCTCCCACAGAGTCCCAAAGTCTGTTCTGTACATCTGTGTCTCTTTTTCTGTTTTGCATATTGGGTTATCATTACCATCTTTTTAAATTCCATATATATGCATTAGTATACTGTATTGGTCTTTATCTTTCTGGCTTACTTGAACTCTGTATGATGGGCTCCAGTTTCATCCATCTCATTAGAACTAATTCAAATGCATTCTTTTTAATGGCTGAGTAATATTCCATGGTGTATATGTACCACAGCTTCCTTATCCATTCGTCTGCTGATGGGCATCTAGGTTGCTTCCATGTCCTGGCTATTATAAACAGTGCTGTGATGAACATTGGGGTGCACGTGTCTCTTTCAGATCTAGTTTCCTTGGTGTGTATGCCCAGAAGTGGTATTGCTGGGTCATATGGCAGTTCTATTTCCAGTTTTCTAAGGAGTCTCCACACTGTTCTCCATAGCGGCTGTACTAGTTTGCATTCCCACCAACAGTGTAAGAGGGTTCCCTTTTCTCCACAGCCTCTCCAGCATTTATTGCTTGTAGACTTTTGGATAGCAGCCATTCTGACGGGCGTGTAATGGTACC